AGTTTGTGGTTAAGTAGCAATTTGGTTGAAGTGATTGAACTAGACTCGTAGCTAACAACCTACACAAATGTGTCTCATGTATCTTTTGTATATCTTAAGGCATTATTAATAATAACTAGTAAAAACTGCAGTTCGTTCTTAGCATTTGCAGCAACATTAGCTAAGTCTTCCGAATGCAGCAACTGCAAGGGAAGTGACAAGAGACACATAAATACGTTCCACTAAGAAGAACTTAAGAGATATTACTCGTATTTTGTTTTAACAACAAAAACTTTTTGGGTTACTAATAATAAGTATGCTAACGATTAGTTCAAACGTATATTAGACAATTTGTTCCGCATAACGAGTGGGTTGGCAACATAAGTAACTATTGAAATGTGAAAGGAATAATTCAAATTATTTTACTTTTTATATGCAATAGTTTAATTTACTTTATATAGCATGATTCGTTTTCAAATTGGTTAGTCACTCTTTTAAAGTAATATTATTTATTATATGTAATAACAAAATAAATGTGCGGTATATTAAGAAGTACTGCAACTGAAGGGGTTATTGTATTACACTCTACTAGTATAGAATAATCATAAAAAATTGTATGCAGTCAAATTGCTTAATAAATTTAATAATGTTGATTAGATTTAGCGTTGCTTATACTTAATCTGCTATTGGACATGTTCTCAGATACTTTCGTCTTTACATTCACCTAGTACGGGCTCTGACGACCTTCTCATACCGTTCATACCTTCATTAAAAATTGTATTAATTGTGTATATTTACACAGTATTTATATAAATATGTATCATCATATGATGATGCATGTTTTACGATTAAAAATATAAAGCCAATTAATTGAATTAGTTTAAAATATTCTAACAATTGATTCTTAACATTCATAACAATAACATGTACTGTACTACAAGTGGTTATCATAAAAACTGTAACAGTTTTACATTTACTAATATAGATTAACTAACAGAACTCTTTCTCTATGATCACCACTCTCATAATTTTACCGTTTATACGTCCCTAAGAACAATGGAGCAATACGGGTGCTACAACATAAGAACAACTTACACTAACTTTTAATTATTTGTTTCTGCTTAACACAAAACTTTTAAAATTATATATAATTATGATTCTTTTTAAATTTTTATTTTCTTATATACTAAAATCTTAACTAAATATTAGGACACCTAAAAGTTATCTAACCAAAATATATTTAAAGACATAAATCGGTTCCACACTAGTATGGTTGGTTATTTATAAAAATGTAATTTAATTGTAGCAAAATAAAATTATTTTTATAATATAAATTTTATATCCATCAGCCAAAATATATTGTTAGTTATAAAATATAATTTACATTGTCTGACGACATTGTGTATATTGTGAATAATTGAGACTATTGCTATATTCCAAAATCACGAAAAGTATTATCTGAGGTTTAGAGCTTAAAAAAATAGAAACAGAGATGAAAAAATTGTTCTCAAATTTAAGATATACATTATTACCAAAATTTAGGATTTCTACTTTCAAAAGTTGTTCATATACTTCTTCATATATGGGAAAAAATAGTTAGTCAGCTGTCATCACTATTGGCTTTCAATGGTATAAAATTTCGCATTCTTAGTTTCTGTGTTTCTGTGCAGGTGCTTTCACGGGTTCGACAGATCTGATAAATTTCACATTTTTAGACTATTTTTCTAATATCAAAATAAAGTATTTTGAAACACTACAAAAAACAATCAAAAAAGTATATAATTACTGTGAAAGCGGTTCGTCTTCAGTGCGCAACCAGCTGCAATTTAGGATTTCACGTAAGTTCCAGCGAGCATGAGACTCCGGTTCAAGCAACACAGCAACAGTAGCTTTCGCCTGAGCAGTAATTTGATCCTGTAATTTACGACGGAAAGCAAACTTCTTGTTATTCTGGTCTTCTAAAAGCTTCGTTAAATTAGTATCATCAAAAGGCATCTTTGCATTGAGCATTATGAATAGAATAACACCAAGTGACCATGCATCGGCTAATTTGGGATCATAGGGGCGGCCGCAAACAACCTCGGGAGCAGCATAAGCTGCAGAACCACAATATGTCTCCGATTTAATATCACGGCCAGTGTCATCAACACAGTAACGAGAGAACCCAAAGTCAGCCAGTTTTATATTCATACGCTTAGATAGTAGAATATTTTCACATTTTAAGTCACGATGTGCTATATCGTGTGCGTGTAGGTACTTCAATGCCTTAGCCATCTGCATAAACCAAGCCTTGGATTGCAACTCATCAACAGGACCATTTTTCTTGATATGGCTAAGCAAATCACCATTTTCGGCGTAACGCATAAAGATGAATATCTTTGGACCACGTTGTAATATACTATGTATTTGTATAATATTAGGATGATCTATCTTAGTTAAAATTTCCAATTCTCTAGGAAAGAATTTATGAACAAAATCAGTAGGAGCCTTGGCTTTGTCAATGATCTTGCAAGCTAAGTGTACACCGTGTCCCGCTTCATCAGCATAGCCAGCTGTGATAACTGTTGCATATGAGCCTTCACCGATCTTATGCCCGATATTGTAACCGCGCTGAGCTAAAGCATCAATATCAGAACTGCGCGTGCTTAATTGGCGGCTTACGCTATTCGGGAATTTTGACATAATGACAGCGTTTGACTAAAACTTATACAATTTTGTCAAAATTAAGAGCATCTAAAGCCGATGAATATTGATTTGAATTTTTATTATTAACTAAGACAAAACATTTAAGAAATATATGGAATTTAACCTAAATTTTGCAAGATCTAAACCGATTCAAAGGCGTAAGATTGGAAATTTTAAATGAAACACATCAAGTGTAGAACCGATTTATATACAGAAAAAAATATAATGAAAATTTTTTAAATCAATTTATTATTTGACAATTTTCTTCAAATTTTATATACATATGTAAGAAATCAATATATCATTGCATTTTGTTTGGAGAATATTTAATAGGAGTTCAAAGCTTACTTTGTTTTAATATTAATTCAATACATACTCAATATTTGTTCGACGAGTTACATTATCATTATTTTGAGTTTGATAATTGTTTTTTTTTGTAGCTCGTTTTCATCTGTATTCTTGAAGAGGTAGTTATTTGGTTCTTTGTGAAAGGTAACGTTCTAAAGAGAGTAGTAAAGTGATGCTAGCTTCAGATCAGGAATGTAGAATCAATCGCTTTAGGAACCCTGGAAACTGTTTGTTGACTATTTTTACTGAGTTTGTCTTCTCACTTTTAATTTGCAGTCTGCCGTCATAACTAGTAGAAGCATTTACTCCAACTTTTAGTCTTTTATAACGAATAAACAATCACCATAACAGAATGCATTGACTATATATATATATATATAAATTCCATGGTACATTAGGACGAATGACATCCTCAGGGACATCAACATTGATTCCATCAAAAAATACATAAAGGATAAAGCCCTGAAATTATTTGTGAAAACTGACAACACCGCGTCATCAAATCTCAGAATGATTACAGGCTCCTCGGGGAGGTATGCAGATCTGAGGTCAATTATTGCTTAGTCTGATGAAGTGATAAACAATAATTCAGTCAAGGCTCAAAGAGGGGTTTTGAAGAAACCTCTAGTTAAAAAAGAGTAAGTGTTTAAGTGCACTAGCTTAAAACAGCTTCAACATAATATATAAATTGATATATTTCTCTATCAGAGTAAAGTTCTGATTGAAAATTCGAGTTTTGGAGATTAAAAAAATAAAAATGAAGAAGAAATTGAAATTTTAAATAGTGACTCACCACACACTGAAAGGTCAATTTGAAATAGTGTTTCTACCGTTTATATTTACAACAGACATTTCTATCTCTGCAACAATTACACTCTTATTTATAGAACAAACAAATAAAAAGTAATATTAGGTGTACTTATTTACTTACTGCTGTCCTTCTCGTCTAATGGAGCATAGGGGCTCAAATATTAGGTGTAGTGAAAAGAAATTCATGATTTTTCCAACAAAAAATAGATGGCTTTAGTTATCTTTATCCTATGTTGTATAAGTCCGATCGGGTTACGCTAATGACATCCTAATTTTGATTTCATCGATTCAGTTCCGATAATTTCGAACGTCAAACGTCAAAGATGCACCACACACTGAAAAGTTAATTGCCGAAAATGTCGATAAAATCATGGAAATTGTCAAGCCCAAACTGCTGTTGTCATTTAAGTATTGTTTCAATTATTCAAGAACTAAAGATTTTTAAAAACCAAAAACTATTTCGAACCATTTAAATAAGTCTGGATACAAAAAGGTGCTCGATGTATTGATGCCAAACGATTTACCGCAAAAACCTCATAGACCAAATTTTTATCTACGAATAGCTGCCTAATTGCAACAAAATCAACCCATTTCTGAAGCGGTTAGTGACTGGTCATGAAAAGTGGATCACTTACGATATCGTCAAGCGAAAACAATCAATTTCACACTGCGGTGAGACGGTATTTTTGTTTTGGGTAATAGTAGAGAAATTGTGTTCTATCAGGACAGCCAGTAGCCAAATGCTTTGGAAGCTTGGTTGGAAAGATTTTATGCATCCACCTTATAGTCAAGATCTGCCATCAAGTGATTACCATCTGTTCCTGCGGGCGAACGACTTTCCTAAATTTTGCTTTAAGAAAGGCTTGTGAAAATTGACTGCTTCAATATTTTGCCAATAGGGATAAGACTTCTGTAAGAGAGGCATATTAAAATTACCTCTAAAAAGACAATAAGTTATCAAACAAAACTATGCATATTTGACCTAAATCGGATCGTTCTAACTATGGTAAATAAGTCTTCAATTTCATGCAAATTTAATGGATTTGTTCCATAAAAAATAGTTATATTTTTTGTTATATTTAATAATCTTTTTTCTATTACCAAACTACTAATTTCAATATTTTAAAGAGAAAATAAATTTAATTGCTATTATATTCAATGTAAAAATTATATTACAGATCTTGTGAAATCTAATCACAGCACACAAATTCAGCCAGACACAAGTCAGGTACAGAATAATGCAACACGGCAAGAAAAATCATTAAAAGATGCTTCCTTCCTTGAAACAATTACAAATATTACACAAATAAGCGAAAAACAATTGAGCGCTTCTGAACGTAATAGACGTTTGATACCTTATATGGCATTCTATTTACCACCCTCAGACATACCAATAAATCAAGCCTATGCTATACAAAGGGTGAGTTTCATAATGCATATATTTTTCAATAAATTCCAATAAAAGACATATTTATATCACTAGCCTAAACAGCATACTTCAAATTATCAACTGCCACCAACAGCAGCAGATAGCGCTGGACCATTACCGCCACCAGCGAATATACCAATACCAACGGCCTATATGCACATGAAGTTACCAACAGTAGCTACAGCACAACAAACCGACATTTCACAGGATTATCCCAACGCCGGCGATGTATATCATAAAATAGCATATGGTTCTGCTCACTATCCTTTGCCAGCTTCTTTAAAGAACACTGGAAAGAAAATACCAATTTTACATTTGTTACCGCCAGGGCATTCTGCACCAGCAGCGCCAACACTCATTACATATAAGCACAACAGCGGTCCACAAAGAGTAAGTAAACTCAAATGAATTATAAACGAGTGTCCTTTAACTAAGGATAAAAATATTTCGCTGCATTTCACTACAGCAAAAGACAGTACAGTATTTTCCACCATTAAACACACAAACCAAAACGCAGCCAATACAACAAGAACATCAGCAACTACAATTGCAACAACAACAACAGCAGCAACAAGACCATCAAGAGCAACAAATTTTATATCAACCTCCAGTGAAGCAATCAAAAATCAATTTAACACCATTCACATCATCAAATACATTGCCAGGACATTTCATACCAATTATTTATACGCCAATGAACAATGCCAATAATAACAACGACAACAACAAAAACCAGCAACATAATGGCAACATAATCAATTACAACTACGCTGACAACAAACCAACAATTGAGGAGTCACCACAAATTCAACAGGTTGAAAAACAGCCACACTTAGACACGCATAACCAAGTTGAGCAGCACCAACAACAGCAGCAACATCTACAAAATGTAGCTGAACTGGAATTATTACAATCAGCACCAAAACATTCACCAAAAGCATCTCATTCACACTCGCCACCACAGCAGCAACACCAGCAACTTCAGTTTATCACCGATACAGGTCTACCAGCACTGACGTCACCTCAACTTCCACAAAGTGGTGTGCATCAACCAGTTGCAGTAGTTCACCCAACAGCAAAGTAAGTTTTTCCTAAAATAATAAATTTTCTTTGTATTTTTGATAGCTTCCAGTCAACAACTTTTTTATTCATTGTAATTACAAACTGCTTACTGCTTACTTATAAAGAAAATTGCAGCAAAATAAGGGTCCAATGGCTGACTCCAAAAAATAAGAACCATTCTAAAAAAATTAAAACTAAAATAAATTTAAGAAATAGAAAATGAGTTATACTAGAAAATTTTTACGCACCTTCTCACTCACCTTCTCTATTCACCTTCTCACTCAGATCAAATTTTATTGTTTATTGATAAAGAAAGGTGGTGCGGACAAACATGGATCCAGTAATTAACTTAAGAAAATTTAATTAAAAATAAAAAATTAAAAGTAAAACCTAAATAGTTTAAAATAGAAAATAAATGAGTTCCGTACAACGGACCATTTCGTCTATAGTATATACTATTTATTCTAACAACTACCTCTGAACTAACAGAAGACATTCAGCCTTTAGATTGAAATATTGTTTATTGAAGATTTCTTAATATATGATTAGAAAATGTACCTTCTCGTTCGGGTCTAATTTAGAATTTGATTAGAAATAGCATCCCTGTCTAGATAGACACGAAATGCTATCACCTAATACAGATTTGCAAGTAAAGTCTTAATGAATGTGTGAATTATACACAATGGCCATCATCACATTAATCCTCTCATTCATTCTATAACCATGGTTAAAACACTGTCAAATAGCCTCCGACATGCAGACATATTATCCGTTACCACAATTTTCATCCCATATTCATCGTTTCGGAGCTTCGAACTAACTCGACCTCTTCGTTTTAGAATGCCTATCAAAGACGATATAAAGAGATGAAACATTTTCCCTTCTTCATAAGCGGATATAGAAACCCGCTGTATGATATATATAATTAAAAAGTGTCAATCCTTATCCTAACACCAAATATTTTTAAAAATGAGCAATAATATGCCCTCAATACTGGTTTCGATATATTTAAGAACCAGAATATTAACTCTTTTTTCTATTCCTTAAACGTGAATTTAGTCATTGAGTTTTCATGAACCGATGGATGATAAGTCTCCATTAGATGCATTTTGACCTGTAGGAGAAAAATATTTTTTTGATCTTTGCCCGTGTTTTAGCAAACTTAGAACAATTATTTATAAAAAAAAATTTAATAGAATATGATAAATTAATAGATTTTCTTATCATATATAAAGCATAATTAATTAGTTTATTTTTTTCACTAATCTATAATCAAAGATAGAAAAGTAATAAGCTAAGTAAGAGTTCTATTGTCGTATATCCAATTTGTCTTTTGTTAAATCTTACTATTATACACTGACCGAATGAACTCTTTGTTGTTTTATTTAGTATAATTGTTCCTTGTGTAACAATTTTTTGTATATTAAACATTTTTTTTAACAATATACATAAAAAACTTTTAGTATAAAAGTGACTAAAACATGCTGAAGACAATTATCGAATTTTGTAATTATGCAAAAATAATATGCCACCGGCAAAAACAATCGGTGCGGCTTTCCATAATGCATTATGAATTGCATGAGTTGCATTCTAATTTTGCAGATAAAATACATATACATCACATATGTATTGTATATGTAGTATATGTATGTAAACTGTTTGGCATAACAGGCATATTGTAACAAATTGAAAATGCATGTCATTTACATCTTCGGGCAAATGTTAGATAATGTTGGAATAGAAAAAAAAATGCATTAGCAATTATAAATTTTAATATAAAAAAAGTTAACTTTTCTTTAATTAACTTATAATAAAAGTGTATTCAAAAAAGAGTTTTTAGAGATTTTGCATTGCTTAGAGACTTACAACTTTATTTTAGCAATAACTAACCATAAAATAAAATTTATTACACATTCATAAAATTTTTGTACGGTTTTCCTCATTTCATTATTAAAACTTTTTTTATATTTTAGTTCAATTTATCATATAATCAATGAACCCACACAATCATTATCATCCGTACCGCAGCATCAAGCTTTAATAGCCTTAAAACCATTACATCAAAAACAACAACAGCAACAACAAAAACCAAATGCATTTCGCATAAAACAACCATTACTACATGCCCCAGCTTATCCACACTTTCATCCACCGCAGCCTGAAAACTTTTTCAATAATGAACAATCGGAGCATGCATCACATGCAACACCCATCACTACACAACAGCAACAGGATTACAAGTACTTAAATGATGAAAATATGACACCTCAGGAAAAATATGTACTCTATTTACAACAACGTATGCGTTACAATAAACAACAACAGCAACAACACCTTAAACAACGTGAACGTGTAAAGGAACGTGAACGTTTACGTGAACATGACCAATATGTGAAACAATATCCACAGCATACACAAGCACATACGACTGCTGGTCCGCCAACAGAGCAAATATTTATTATCGCTTCGTCTGCAGCACCTGTTGACGTTGAGCCCATAGAAATACAAAAACAACAAGTACAACATCAACAACATCAACAACGTCCACTACAACATAAATTACAAAATAATTATGCAGCAACGCATAATCCTGCAACATATCCTGTCATTGGTACACCACATCCTTCCTCAAAACTTGCCATTTCCGCCAAACAACAACATTATTCGAATGCAAAACCTTTATATTTGCCAGTACCAAAGTTTTTAAGTGAATTGGAAGTGGTACGTCAACAACAAGGACACAAACAAGGACAGATACAAAAATTAAGACAACATTCCTATAATGATGGGTGAGTATATACACCGCTTAGGAAACCGCTTACGCACCGCAAACATAAACACACAAACTATAAATAGTTTCATCGTTTAACTAATTTATTTTACTATTTATTTATTTAATTCCAAACTTTCTGTCCTGGTCAGCATTTTTTAATTAAACAATATTTTCAGTCCTTCTCAATCACCGTACATAGACTACATTATTGAAGAGCCTAAGCAGTCTTTGGATGAAGAACAGCACGGCAGCATACCAACTCAACAACTAAAAATAACTGCTAAACCTACATCAGCGCCACCACAAGCAGCGTATATAGTCATCACAACCGCTCTACCACCAGCAACCCCAACATCTGCAGAATACTATGGTTCCACTGTACGCCCAGCTTACAAAAAACAACCTACAATACGTTTACAAGCAGTCGCACAAGAAGAGCAACAGAAAAATTATCCAACAAGGCGTCCAACAATAATAGCACCACAACTTTCCAATACAGCATATTCCAATAAACCGAATTACAAGCAAGTAGCCATTAAACTGCAATCGTCTAATGACTATGAAGAAGGTATTGAATCAACACCAACACCCCAGCAATTAGAAACAGAGCACGTCACTCCAACTCCAACATCGGCGAAGTTACCTGCATACTATGCTGGCGACAGTAACAAAAATCAGCAGCATGCACCACAAAGCATACCTGATCCCAATCAATTGCCTGATATACGCTCTTCATCTCTGGCTGAAATTTTACACAAGTTGCAAGCTAGCAATCACTTACCACAAACGTTGACAGCCGACAACATAGACAATTCAATAAAAACACTCATTACAATACTGAACAACTTAAAGCAAACTCAAACAATTGTTGCTAATCCACCACAACATCACGAAACGCCAACAAATGCAGCTGACTATGATTACAATGCCGGTGGCAGTCAGGAAGAGCATGGCACACCGCCAACGATAAATGTATTAACGCCCATCAAACCAAGTAAGTCATTGCTGATTTATGTGAGTAATGATTCATTGAAGTGAGAGATTTGTTACTTTAGATAAGCATCCCGGACCCAGCACAGGCCGCCCAGGTATAGATTATCCAAATTATGCTGAAATACCGCAAACATCCTTCGATTGCACTCAACAACGGTACAAGGGTTTCTTTGGAGATCCTGAGACGAACTGTCAAGTATGGCATTATTGTGATTTAAATGGTGGCAAGGCCTCATTTTTATGCCCCAACGGCACAATATTCAGTCAAGTAAGTTAAAGTATCACAATGGAATGATGGTTTTAAAAATTAGTAATAAATTAATATTAATAATTAGTTTAATATTTGAATACCCCTTCCTCCTAACTTTGAATATTAAATTGCCAATCTTTAAATATTACAATTATTTTGAAACTCAAATTTGAAGACTTCAGTGACGTACTGAACTCTAGTTAAAGACCAACATTAAATCATCACTTTATTAAACGAAAGAAAAAGTAATTTTATTTTTTAAATTATCACTCAAGAAAAAACAAATAGAGCAGTGACATACATGCTGTTTAAAATTTGACCGAGGTCTGTTACCAAATATGTTTATATCAGTTGATTGTGCAATTATACTTTTGAGTGTTCTGCGATGCATTTTACGACTTTCGTATTTATAAAAGAATTTTTGGCACAAATCATTCAATAAATGTAAGTAATTAAGCACCACTGTACTCATCTCATATGAACCCAATTTAAGAAAAATATTGCAATTCCCTAACAATAAAAGAAAACATATTAGAGTACTTAAAAAGAAACCTACGATAATTCTGTCTATTTTGAAAGCGACAGAATAAATTTTTAACGAATGATTTTTTTTTTATAATTCTGAATACTTTTTAAAAAGATTATATACTATATACACCTTTTTATTTTATATCTACAGATAGCATTAACATGTGATTGGTGGTTTAATGTAAAGTGCTCCACAACAGCACAACTTTATGTACTGAATGAAAGGCTTTATAAATATATATTACCATTTACACCCAAATTTCCAGAAGATTATAGTGGACCGCTTGTAGATAAGTAAGTATATGTATTTATATAACACACATATTTCAGTTAAAAATTTTCATAAGTTAATATAAATTAAATTATGATATGAAAAAAATTAGCTTTGACTTTGTCAAAACTTTGGCATCCTCAATTACCTATTAATTATACAGTAATTTTTTCTTATCGTATATTCAATTTTGTTTTTTGAATCTATTTAAATCCCATATATAACAGCTCAGCTTATTTCCAGTAGTATCTTTAACACTCTTCATTAGTTTCAAGCGAAAGAATTATTTTTCTTATTAAACAAACAAGGAGACATATGTATATACAATCGGACACATATAACACACCCTACATCCACAGAAGTGCGTGGTGATATATTAATATTATAGTATTATATATTAATATTATAGTCTCTATAACAAGCAAAATAGATTTAAAAATGAAAAAAAAAAAAAAGAATATTAATAATACATAATATTCTACCCGTTGACTAACACACTCTATATTCACAGAAGCCTGGATGATATATTAATATTGACTACGGTTATAGTCTCTATAGTAATTAAAATAGTTTAAAAAATTTACAATATATTTTTTTTAACAATTAATAACATTAAAATATATATAAACTACACTACACAAATATAACAATTGATATAGGGCCACAATATATTGTTAAAAAATAATTGCATATATTATAGTATTCAATTACAATAGAATAAGATAAAATATACATAATAATTTTATAATATATAATTTACAAAATAAAAGAAATATATAATAAATATTAATTTCTATTATATTACATATAGAAAAATATAAAAATAGCAATATCAAAACTTATTATTATATTACAGTAGTACTTATAATAAACAAAATATCTTCTATTTTTAACGATATAGAAGAAACGTTACTTTTATTATGTTAAATATAAATTTTTTTCAGATATCTTGCAATGAAATTTCAAGAGATGGAAGAAAAAACGCATGTACATAAAGATCAGAAAGAAGTAGAAAAAATAGAAGAACCTCCAAGTACTGACAATAACATCGAAGAAACTACATTAAATGTGGAACCGATTAATCCACACAAACATGAAGCAAAGAATTCCTATGTAAGTGAACAGAGTTCCGAACGAAATTTACTAATAGATGATGAAGGTATTGATGATGATGATGATAATAATACTAAATCAGCTAAACCAGCTACTCAAGAAATCACAACACCAGCAACAAGTACGAACTCAACAGATTTGGAGTTATCACTCAGTCTTAAACCTATAGTAGTATCCTCAACAGAAGGACCAGATTATGCGCAAAACAGTTCCGAAGAACAAGAAACAAAGGAAAGTAATGAGGAGCAACATAAACGTGCGGATATGAAGAAAAATAATAAATCGGAAAATTCTCGTGAACCAACAAAATTTAAAGTAAGCGTTGAAAAAGTTGAAGTCATAGAAATAAAATCTGACGGCACATCTGGACACATAACACCAGCTGAATTATATGAGACCAGATAGACTATATAATTGATTATATAAAGCCTATATGTTATTATATTTTTATAAGAATGTTATTATTTATACACGTATTTGTATCCTAGAGTGGAAAGCCATTTCGCAGTTTAAAAGGCGTATTGCAAATATTGTATACATATTAGGGGAGGGAGGGGGCGACAGACGCACGCAGTTTGTATATTTTTTTTTTTATAATTTATTATTTATTATGTCCCTTTTTAAGTTACAAATTTTTTTACTAGTGAATATCTAATAAAAAAAAAATTATTGTGAAATGTTATAAACTTGCCATAAACATGAAATGTTTTTGCTTCATAGTAATAACTCAACTATGTAAATAAATTGTATTAATTTTATATTTAAAAATTTTTTTTTTTATATACTAGTATAATTTACTAGTATATTATATGATATATTCTATTTATTACATTAAGTGTTACAAAGGAAAGAGTATTGCAAAAGAAAGAGATTATTAGAATAATCTCTTTTTAAATAAGTGTTGCAGTATTTTTAAGAGAGAAAATGTTGACAGCTCACATTTAGCTATTATGTATTTATCTTAAAAATATTGAATTTTGTCCAGTGCAATATTATAACAAACATGAAGGTGTATTTACTTACCTTTTCTGATTTCGCTAATACTTCATCAAATCTCTTCAATGACTCCAACATATGAGTAATGTCGTCCTGGTGAAGTTGATTCTGTGATTGAAATCATTTATTAATCAATATAATTTATCAACAAAAAAACAAAAAAAAAAACATTTCCATACGCCAAGATGAACATACCTCTTCAAATATACGCTTTACATCATGGTCTTCATGATCTGTGAGACGCCGACAAGTCTTGCATAGCTCTTCATCACAAGTTATGCAAATATAGTTTATGACATTATGATGCGCGTAACATCTGTTTGGAACATATAAATTGAACTCATCTGATGTTATCCGATCAAGCCGATGACTTCTTAGAACTTTACTTGTAGCGTGTACTTGCGTAAAGCAACTAGTGCAAAAGAATGCCTTGCAGTGAAGACATTTACCATAAGCAGTTTGTCGTTCGCACTCAGAGCATTTCTGAGTAGGTTTTGGAGCAATGGCTTTCTGGCTGATCTCGCGTAATACAATGGCTTCTTTATTTTCATCAAGCAAATCAAAGTAATATAAATAACCCAATAAATAAAAATCCAATTCTATATATTCTCGGATATTGATGCGAAATTTCGGAAATAACACAGGTTTCAAGCAGACAGGACATTCGAAACAACGAATGTTTTTTATTATGCAGCTTTCACAGACTGTGTGCTTACATGGTAAGATATATGGACGAAGCCGTTTATTTGTTTCTGTAAATATTAAAAAATATAAACATTAAAACATTATAAATATAAACAGAAAAATATATAAGAAGTACTTCTACAATGTAATCGAGCATTACAATGTTCGAATAGCTGGAATATGCTCGTTTTCGACCATTTAAATCGAACATATAAAATGTTAAGAGCTTTTTGAAGATGACCGAATAGCTGACAGGTCGAACAGAAAGGGGTTTGTTTTAAATATATTAATTACAAGAAATATAAAATATGTTAATACGCGTATTGCATTTTATATCACATTTTAATTTTTTAACATTATTCCATGCTATACTATACTATATATACAGTCAGCGTCAAAATAAAGTGTACAGTACCTTTCCAACATTTGTTTGCTTTATTCCAATAGTTAAAAAGTGTGTTCGATAAATATTTTAGTTTTTATGAAATGTTATTCAATTCTCTTTAAATTAAAAAAAAATTTAATTTATTTTACAACAAAAACTGTAATTACTCCAGCTTTATCGCGTCAAAATAAAAAGTGTACATTAATAAATTCATCAAATAAAAAGCTAAAAACCCAAACTTTAATATTTTGTTTGCTTTCCGTGTGTTTGCATAAAGAACTACTTCTAGCCTCCTCGGCATTGATTCAGCTTATTTTGTTGTCATTTCCGGTGAAATTTTCTGTCATTCATCTAACAATACCGATTTCAGAGAGTCTATGCTAGTGACGCCTCTTTCACGAATTTTCCTGTCCAGATGTACTCATAAATGTTCAATGGGATTGAGGTATGATGATTGTTCAGTTGTTGATGGTTCAGTTGTTTTGGTGTATGGTACAGCAGCCATTCCTTAACAATTCAAGCGTTATGTTTGGGGTCGTTATCTTGCTGGAAAATCCAGCAGCGATCTAGTTCCAATTCTTCGACACTACATTCTAAATTTCCTTTTCAAAAATTTAGGTAATCCATTTTTTTCATTCTATTATCAATAATATTCTACTGGCCACCATACACTGCCACACCATCACTGAGCTCCCAAGGTGCTTTACTGTAGAAACTATATTTTTTGTGGCTTTTTTAGCTTTTTATTTATTAAATTTATTACTGTACACTTTATTTTGATGCTGACTGTATATAGTATTGTGTTGTATGTATATATGCTATTGTATATATACTCATATAATGTAAATATATAACATATACATGCTATTCTATGTACACGCATAATACGTATATATGTACCATATACATACATATATGCTATTGTATATATACGCATATAATGTCTATGTACAACACATATGCTTCTGTATAACATATATATGTATACATATATATATATATATATATATATATATCATATTTGTATTAATATATCATATATTACATTCATATATACTTTATATATTACGAACATGCATATATACTTTATATATTACGAACATGCATATATACTTTATATATTACGAACATGCATATATACTTTATATATTACGAACATGCATATATACTTTATATATTACGCACATACATATATACTTTATATATTACGAACATGCATATATACTTTATATATTACGCACATACATAACATGTATGTATAAGTACATGTTATATGTGCATGTATGTAAGTTAATGAACATTAATTTTAATGATCATACAAAACTATATCAAAAGAATATCCCGTAGCAAATATGTATGTATGTGTTTTGATACAATTTTGTCAAAACAATAATAAATTATAATATAACTATAAATTTAATATAATTTAAATATAATTTAATATAATAATTTATATATAATATAAATTATAAATAATAAATTCTATATATTTATATAGATATAAAGTGTGTATTATATATATACAAGTTAATGAACATTAATTTTAATGATCATACAAAACTGATTCAAAACAATATCCCGTAGCAAATATGTATGTGTTAAAGTATGGTAAATTGTTTTGACAAAATTGTATCAACACACATACATACATATTTGCTACGAGATATTCTTTTGATATAGTTTTGTATGATCATTAAAATAAATAATATATACTATTTACCTATATATAACACACACTATATATGTATACATATTGTTAATAACAAATACGATAATAATAAAAGTTTGCCCAAAAGTTATTCATAAAAAAATAGTAGGGTTTTATTTTGCATGCTACCCTAAAAACAAAAAATGCATTAATGCATAGGCAACCATTTTTTCTAATATCAAGCCATTTATAAATTAAAGCTATTCAAAATGTATTTTATAATTTGTATTGAAGCTGATTTCACAACAAAAAACGCCGGTTCCAAAACCGTTAAACACATGCAAAACTATAAAACAAACACTACACGCATTCTCCCGTAAAACGGTATCTTGTGTTACTGAATATGATACTGTACTATAAGTTTTTATAGTATATTTAGGTTGCTTTACTTACCATTATTTCGTTTAACAGAAAACTGGGATCTGCACTTCGGGCATTTATAAAAGTTTTTAATAGAATTTCTAATAAAATTTGTATATTGAGCATCGTTGCTCTGAAATGTGCATAATTCTGTCATTTTACAAAACTGTTATCAAAACACTATTCATTCACTTTATTCATTAAATTGATCAATTAAATATAAACAACAAATAAATCTGGCGAAAAAATTAATAAAATCCGGCGAACCACACAAATCAAACACGCAAATAACAGCGCCTCGAACGACAGCCAATGATTATTGCAAATTCTGTCAAAATCATACAAATGAGACGAAATGAAAAAGAAACTGTCAAAATGTATTTATGCAGGGTTACATTACGATTCACGATTCCTGGGGCTACACTAAAAAATATTTAATTTAGATATTTTCCTTGAGATATGTTGTGATTATTATTTATAATACTCTAGCACTATTAGTTTTATTTATATATTATATTTATATATTCATACTTAAATATGTGCGTAGGGTAAATGCACATACCTATTTTTGCAAGAGCATAAAGAATACATAATAAATGAATATAAATAATGAATTTTAATGAATAATGAATATAAAGCGGAATGAAGTTTAATTAGCAAAGAATGTTTTTATTAGAAGGAATACCAAGTATTGACAATAATATCGAAGAAACTACATTAAATGTGGAACCAATTAGTCCATATAAACTTGAAACCAAAAATTTATATGTAAGTGAACAGAGTTCTGAACGAAATTTACTAATAAATTATGAAGATTTTTATTATGACGATGACAAAAAGCAATAACAAAAAACAAACGAATGTAGTTAGGAAGAATATAAATGTGTAGACGTTCGTTCCAACAACTCTTAATCTACACTACACGTGTTTTGTATTACTGTACTGTATTATGTTTTTGGGTTATATTAATTGCTTTACTTACCATGAAATGGTTTAATAGAAAAAACATTGAGACATATAGGGCATTTAAAAAAATTTTTAATGGAGTTTCTAACAAAGTTTGTATACTGAACATTGTCACTCCAAAATTTATTTAATTCGGTCATTTTACGAAATTTTTAACAATTCACTTTAATCTATTAATTAAATTGATCAATTATGTATAAACAAAGAATAAATCAATAAATCTGACGAAAAAATAAAAAACCCGGCGAAACATATAAATCAAATACGTAAATTACAGCGCCTCGAACGACAGCCGATGCTTATTGTGAAAATTCTGTCAAAATAGTTTACATGAAACGAAATGAAAAGCAAACTGTCAAAATGTATTTATGTAGGGTTACATTACGTTTCACAATTCCTGGGGCTACAACAGAATATATAAAATTTTGATATTTTCATTGAGATTCATTGCGATTATTATTTATAATACTCTAGCACTATTAATTTTATTTATATATTATTTTTATATATTCATACTTCAATGTGTGCGTAGGGTACATGTATAGACTTGCACTTAATATTGCAAGAATACATAAAAAATGAATATGAAGCGGAAAGAAGTTTAATTAGGAGAGTATGTTTTTATTAGAAGAAATACTAAGTATTAACAATAATATCGAAGAAATTACATTAAATGTGGAAATAATTAGTTCACATAAACATGAAGCTAAAAATTCCTATGTAAGTGAAAAAAATTCTGAAAGAAATTTTCTAATAAATGAGGTGTTCGTCACATAGGGGTAACTCAACATAATGGTGAAATTGAAAAACGCGTATTATACTTTTCCACCATATTGTATGTTATAATTAAAGTATTAAGTAAAGAAAATAATAAACAGTCAGACGGAAATTATACCTAGATTCGCGCGTTTCACTCCAACAAATTGGTATTGATTATGACGATGACAAGAAAAAATAACAAAAAAACTAAGAAAAGCAGTGTGGAACAAAGTAAACTTGCATATAAAAAAAAAATCGTATTATTTTTATTTTATACTGAATCAGATTTTACAACGAAAGTCGTTCGTTCCAACAACCGTTAATCAAATATAAAACTAAAAAAACACACCACATATACCGTATTACTGTAATGTATTATATGTTTTTGAATTATATTACTTGCTTATCAGCAAATGTTTAAAAGAAAGAGGTTTAAGAGGAAAAACATTGCAACAGTTGAGATATTTAAAAAAATATTTAATCGAGTTTCTAACAAAGTTTGTATACTGAACATTCTCGTTCCAAAATTTATTTAATTCAGTCATGTTACAAAGCTATTATAAAAACACTATTGTATTCATTAATTTTTCACTTAAGTTAATTAACAAACAATTATTTATACTCGTTCATTTCGTTTTTATTTACTCATTAAACAAGCATTGCATTTGCGAGCTTTTTATTGCATATTTTTAGGCATAAAATATCTTATTTAGTGATATAAAATAATACTTAACTTGAATTTTTCTTAATATATAAAATTAATTAAAATTCCTTCAAAATTTAATTTTTTTTAGTATTATTTGTTTATTTCTAAATACAGTTCTTAATGTTAAATAGACAATTTAAAGTATTGTGATTTGCATATTTTAACAGATAAAATTATTTCATCATCGCACGCACCCAGTATTCTTAAATAATATTTGACTATTAATAAAATTAAGATAAACCAGAAAACCGTTGTTTACTTATATATATTGTACATATTTTGAATTTTGGCTTATAATAAGAATTGAAATTATGAATACATAGAATCCATTAAGTTGTCCTGTCTTTGACGGCGATTAGGTTCATCTTGACGGTATAAACGCAGCTCTTCATAGACTGGATCATCGGTTTCCAATTCATACCGACATAATGGACAGGAATTGGTCTGAAATTACATAAAATGTTTTTATAATAATTTAGTAAATAATAAATCACAAAAAGTGAACATTGATAACATTGATATATATATATATATACAATTTATCAAATATTTTAAGATGTGTTATTAGTTGTTTATAATAACTATTATTTTTTGGATTCTGAATAAGAGCATTAAATTTCTATTATCTTTTTTACTGTAACTCTGTTGGCAAAAAGTTGGGAGATTTGATTATAGATATATTCAGTTGTTTATATTGTGTGGTAAATTAGGTTAACTAGACGTTTTTACTCAGTTCTTAGCCACAGTGTATATAGTTATTTATAACAGTTTGAACTTATAAAACTAACAATAAGTAAGATACTCTTTTTTTCAACCACATCTGACAGGTCTTTTAACAGTATTTGTGAGGTTAGAACAGAACAGAATTTATAGTTCTATTCTATAGTTCACTGAGTCTATTAACAGATTTGATATTCTGCAATGTAATGTAGAGTTTCATTGTCACAACTGTAATATACATTATTTGAAGGTTACTCTAATCTTCTTGTGTGATAATTTAAGAATTATTGTGTAATTAGAGACCGTGTAGCGTAAGAATGCCTTACTAGGATCCGTAAATTAAATAAAAGTTAGTCAAATCTTCTTCTGTGAACACTTCAAGAATTATAAAATCGTTATAAGGTTTTAAAAAGAATTATAAAATCGTTCAAATCAAGAAAGTACATATATATACATATATCTCACACTATAATCTTGTAATTAATATTTACTTACTTTTTTCAACCACAATAAAATGCACTCCTCATGATATTTATGTTTGCAAGGTAATACTTTAAATTGCTCAGCGATTTCAGCTGGTTTCAAGCACACAGGACATTTGACATCATTCTTGACATCATCTTCGGTAATATCATGAAGGGGCATTTTGGCGATAGCACGCTTCGACGCTTCTGGCACCTCAATATCCATATCAATACCATTCATAATGGCTAGCACTTGAAGGCGCCTATAGTTCCTATCCATATCATCAGGTCCATTGTCACCAGTTGGTGTATGTCCAAGTTCAGTAAAGTAATCGGACATTGTGCTATAGGTTGTGTAGTTGTATATGTGGAAGAGCTGTGAAAATAATAAGCGGGAGCTATTACTTATATGGTAATTGAAATTTGGCTTATAACAAATAAAACATTTTTATTTTCTTTTGATTTAGCTTTATTGAAATTTGTAAAACATTTTATGACAGTTCTTAAAATTTTTCTAATTATATATTAAAATATAATTCATAAAGTATGCTTACAAATTATTTAATCTAAGCATTGAAAATTAATTATTAATTATTTGTAAATATATAAGTATACATTTTATCTCAAATTTTAAATATTTTATTTAAAGTACATTATATACACATATATAATACTTTAAGGAATATATTTGAAGTAAATATATTTATTAAAAATATTAAGGGCTTTAATTGCTTCTACCTATTTTCATTTACAATTTGGGATCCTTTATAGTATTATATTTTGATAGCCACTGATGGTAAATGAAGTAAATCACATTTATACTACTAGGTGTGCTAAAGATATTTCCAGATTAGACTAGTGGGTTAATAGTTTAATAACATGAGTCTCCAGTGCAGAATTAAGTTTTCTACAGTGTGCGGAAGTTTTGAAGAGTTTTTAAATTGAGAATTTCAATAGTCAATGCTAAATGATTTATTGTTTTATTTAGTTTCTAAGAAAAATATCAGATAACATATTGGATCGAGTCTGAAGCTTATTGGGCTAAAGAAAAGTTGAAAAATAGATTTTCTATTTAATATATTTTGGCTTATTAATCATTTCCTTCTAGTTAACGTCGGTTATGTTAGGTTTTTTCAGTTCCATTTAGACCTATTGGCCTATATTGTTGTGGTCGTTAAGCCTTAGTTAGCTTAAACACAAAATTAAAGTTATGAATGGGAAGGAATTAATCCAAGTCGTGCAAAAGAAGTGAGCTATAAAATCTGGCCTCAAATAGTACATATATATAGAGTATAAAGAGATTGTTATTTTAACCAGCTGAGATATTGAACAAGTTGGTAATGAATTTAAACTACCTAATCTGTGTAAGTTTTATATTTGGTTCATATACTATTATGATTGAGTGAATTTTGATTACTATTAGGATATTATTTAAACTGATGGAATATATTTATATAGAACTATTCTGTTAACCATTGTGTAATCTTGAAAAAATAATTGTATATTGTTACTAAAAGTTTAAAGTCTACTGAGATGTAACTTCAATATGGTACAATTTAAATCTTCAAACAAATTTGGTTGGGTAATTTCAATGCATTTTATTCAGGTTCCCAGTAATAAAGTTATACTTTTAAAAATAAAATAGTCTCAGCCTTTACGAAATTGTGTTTAGTCCTCCGGGACTTTTAAGTAATTCTAAAGTTCAAATAAATTTCATAAATTATCATAAATTATTATGATATTTAACAACATATCCCTTTATTGAGATATAAGTTGAAAAAAATCGTATGAGTACTCTATGACCAAAATAGTGCACTAATGAGATTGCACTGGTATTATATTAATTAGAAGTTAAAGACTTAATAAGATATTGATGCTCGTAATGCAGAGTTGAGAAAATTTGTTTTCTTCAAGTTTAACTAAACTATCTTAGCATACACCCGGTAGTTTCAGCAATCTATTTAGCAAAGGTTAATCTTAAGGTATATTCAAGCTAAACCATGTAACAATATAAATGTCAGATATTGTTATAAATAACATGTATTACGATTTTCTAATCGTAATGCAATTGATAATGCCATTATATCATAATATTCGATTTATTACAATTTAAAATGCAGTTTTTATTTGAATGTTGTGTTAGATGTATTCAATGTGACAAATCAGTAGTTCATATCTCAAATGAAGTTAAAATTAATGTATAGAAATTGGACTTTTCGTTTATTATAATAAATCGAAACAACCAACTAGAACACTAATTTCAAGAAACAATAATAATTTAATTAATTAGAGTCAATTAATGCTGGCTTGAACGTACAATTAAAGACTAAAATTATAATCCAAATTCATATCCTTTTATCACATAGGTATATTTATTATGAAACCAGATCGTAGATCGTCTTCAATTTGTTATTGGATCTTATTGTAATTTAGAGAATTAAAATAGGACATTTGTGCTGTCTTGAAAGTTATCCTGAGCCCTTGAAATTCAAAGTTTTTATTAATAAACATACATATAATAATATATATAAAATATCTTAATTATATAGCATTACACAATATCGGAATATATTTAGCTCTAGAAATTTTTTCTATATAAATTTTATTAGCTTAAATGTTTAATTTTTTTATTTAATGATTTTGCTTAAGTGCTAAAGATCTAATATAACCTAGTTAAGAGCTAAGCTACACAAATTGATTTTACTTTAGTAAAAAAATCACAAACATTTTTAATACCTAGATTATAGAAAAAATACAATACTTTAAGAACTACATTTGATGCATATTGTTAAAGATTTTAATTGATTTAAGCTTAAAGTCCTAAGAGCTTAGAAATAATGTCTTGTTTTGCTTTTTGCTTAAATTGCTTATAAAATCTATTGCGGCTCTAACTAGGCACAATATGTGAAGAATGTGTCTTATATGGTTTACCATAGAGAGAGGTATAAAAGTCGAGTATTAAATAAAAGTGATATGAATATGAGTAAGTGAAGAAATTTAAAACAATAATTTATGGAAAAGTAGAATGGATCAACCACTTTTATTAGGAGAATCGAGTTAAATAAAAAGTTTATTATAACTGTTAGATATAAATATTTTAATTAATAAATTATATGTCGTACTTTAAAGTCTTTTAGAATTAAAAACAAAAATTAATTTATACAAAACATAATACAATCATTTAAACAAAAAAAAGCAAGAGAACAGATATAGTTAATAATAGATTTTATAAATAAAACCCACTGAAAACTGAGAATTCATTTTATCGCGAATGGAAAGCTTAGAAAGTAAGATGTACTATCTTTAAATAATCTAGAAATTTAGATAGGCGTTGGCAATAAATATTGTTATTACATATTCTTTATTGAAGTCCAGGGATTTTGATGTTATTGATGAATACATATAACATGATTAGCATTGACATCGATTGATCGCATCCATGACATATTACTTAATAAATATGCACACAATTACTCCAAAGTTTGATCATTATATTGTAAATATATAATGTATATGAAAGAAATTTATAGAATCAATTGTTTTCATTATTAATTTCATTTAAAATGTAACAGTTTTAATGCATTTAATTTCCGTCTATCTCTCACAACCTTCGTCCATGCCAAGCAACAACACACAACTCGTCACAGCGTTGCCATCGTTTATTTTCTACAATTTTTGTGCCAATAGGATAGGAATAGAGTGATAAGAGGAAGATGATTCATAAGGCAGTGATTGCCAACTTTTTTTTGACCAAGGACCACTATAATATATTTGTTTTTAATAGGGACCACTAAGTTTAAGAATATTAAACTGTACGATTATTTTAATATGCTTCATGTATCTATCTAATAATATATAATGAATAGGTGTATAGGTGAATTATATAGGCTATAAAATAGATAAATAATTTCATGGAAATTTTTTTGCTAATTTTTTTTTTATAAATAAGGTCTTAGTGGACAAACTAAAAACAATGTTTCCATAGCTGTTGAATAGCTATGGACCATATATTAAACCATATTTCGACTACCGGTTGTGAACCGGTGAACTGATTTAAGGTATATCACGAATGAAGATATACACAAGAACTTGAATATTGAGTGTATTAAAAAGTATATCACATACAAAGCGCTGATACTAATTTAGAATTGTACTCTCTTAAAACATACATAATATATATTCTGTCAGGAAGATATCCTATACTTCTATAAAAGTACATAAATAAGTTATAAAAAACTTTTAATGTGTCATTGTAACAATGGATCATCCAAGTGATCACAGATAGTATTGAGTTAAAGTGCTTTCAACACCAACTGGCGTTTAATCAAACAATAAAGAAGAAGTCTAACATTCTCGTATCTGTCTTAAAATTCTTTAATATGTGTTCTGGGATTACTTTAACATGAAGAATTCTTAAAAAAATTGCATGTTTTTAATTTTACTTAATAAATCATAATTTTAGAGGTACTTACAAAGACATCTAGAGACTTTCATATGATTATAAATTATTACTAATCACATTTCACGGACAACTAAAAACGATTTTAGAATGTAGGAGCTAGGCCTTCCTTACGACCTCAACCAACTTGGTATGTGAGAGTGATGATAGAATGACTCATTCCAAAAGAGAAGGACACTTCAAGTTGGATTCTTTGTGGTACTTAGTCAAGAGAATCATTGTTCTGGAACAAAATGTAACTACAAGATTCTTATTTCATGTGATCACCCAAGCTAGTACTGTCTGGGCGGGGGGTGTGTTAAAAACATATATTAGAAACAATTTCATAAAAGACCTTTCGGCTTTTAGCAAGAAACTATGGATAATAAAATTATCCATGTTTGGTAGTTGAAGATTGACAAGAAACTATATAAATTCTTAAAAGAACTTTTTTTTGTAAAGACAGAGAAGTTCTTTCCTTTAATTCCTTTAAATACCTCATATCGTGAACACATTGACGGATTGGAAGGCTGTAAAATATTTTTGTGTATTAAAAGATTGGATTATATTTTTTTTTTGGTAATATGCAGACGTCTAAGTAAAGAAACACAAAATGCATTGGAATATTTGGTGATTGATTTAACAAAGTTATTTTGAGAAGAGCAATCATATTTAAGATTTTAGGTTTTCTTATTAGGATATTAGTCTTTCACGAAGTATTGTATGAGATCCCATAACATAGAATATTAAAATTTTATTACAGTTTTAGATTTATAACTAATTATATATGAAATTAATAGAACAATACAAATTCCTTTGAAAAGTGTTTAGAGAATAAGATATATCCAAATCGAGTACTATAACAATTATTTTAATTATTTGTTCATATAGAAAGATTATTAAGATAGCGCACTTATAAAAGGATTTTGAGATTGTGAAGAAAGTTTTTGAGAGGAATAGTTGAAATAGACCATGTATCAAAACATATGATAAATGTTACATTGCATATTAATAACGGAATAATTCTGAGAGATTAAACACTGATCACACTGATGATGCTCATGTTTAAGTTAAGGAGTCGGGGACATATATTTTGAGTTGGTATAATTTGGAATATGGTAGCTTAAATTTATGTAAGATTGTCGATACTTATACAAGTCTACGCTTATTTTTACAACTACCTGTAAAAATTTTTTTTATAATGAAATTTTCAAACAAAATATACTCCGTAGTATTAACATAGAGTTTTTAATAAAGACAACCCCCCTCATATATTGATTTGCGATGAAATTTATTTTAGGGGGCATTGATAAGAAACCCCATTAATATTGCGACTATAACAGATTTATTTTTGTGTTTAAAAACTTAAGTACGATGTATAAATAAAATACGTCTTGCACTGTAAGTTAATTTCTTGTAAAGCACAACTTTCAATAGTCTTGTCATATTTTTTTAAATGAAGGTCTTTAAAATTTGGTAGCTATAACGGATCATATTTGAATGCAACAAAAAACACACATAAACGCTGGCTAGTGTGTACTGTTCAATATGATCTAAAGTATCTCACGCCAAGATGGCGGCAGCGTACAAGCAGTTTTGATCATTATAAGAGTGGGATCAATAGATCATTGTGAGTACGGATGAGTCTAGTAAAACTGTTCTGTTCTTGTAAATGGAGTTGTTATGTGAAGATCATTGTGAAAACAGATGTGTCTATTGAAACTTCTTTAGAAGTTATTATAAGAAATGACAACATTAGATCGTTGCGTATACATATAGGTATGTTAAGACTCCTTTTCTCTTGTTAATTGCATGATTATGATTGTGGACACAGTTGGGTTTATTTAAACTACTCTTCTCATCTCTATAATTGAACAGAAATAATTATAACAAGTGGGTGCAACAGATCGTTGAGTACTTTGAATAAGTGTGGTTGTAACTGTGCTCAAATTTATTCGTTTTCCTCTTCTTCTTGAAAGGATAACAAAAAAGAGTGGGTCCATCAAATCATAGTACCCTGTCATCACAGGTGGGTGCTCAAATTAAAGACAATTTTCACAGCAAATTCTCATTTCATCGTCTTATTATATAAAAATTTTTAACTGCATCCATTTTCTTACTTTCAATTTATAAAAAAACTGAAAACTAAATTGGTATCTATATTAAAGATGCGTACGTAACGATAGCTATATGTTATATTTTTTAATTTCGTAATAAAGAAAGTAATAACAAAATGAAACGATTTCGTTTTGAAAATATAATTAATTAATTAGAGAAGAAGAAACCGAGTTTAGGTTTACGCAATTTTAAGTTCAGATTTTCTTAAAAACGAGTATGAAATTTTCAAATAATTTTTTAAAATTAATTCAACTGGTTTAACAATTTTTACGAATATTAAAATGAAACTTAGAGAATTAAAAAAGCTGATTAGTATAAAAATAATATTAAAATTGTATATATGTATATGTATATATAGTAAAAGTAATTGTTAATACCCAGCTAGTAACTACTAGAACAACATAAAATTATATAAACTGTGACATTAGAGAACAAAAATTAAAACCTGCTTAAAAATATTCATTTTAATAAACGGTAATTAAAAATAAAAAAAAATTGTCTGAAAGTTAATGAAATTGATGAACCTGATTATATGAACTTATATACTTAAATATAAATATATACGTATATATAATAGTATATGTACGCATTATATAAATATAATTAGTTCAATTAAAACACAAAAGTCTTAGTTGTTTTATGTGGTAATTTTTTTGTTCAATTTTATATGAACAAAATTTTAATTTTTTTTTTGTTATAAAAATAATTTAACATAAATTTTTTTAAAAATAAATTTTTCATATTTTTTGTAAAATTTTTAGTTTGTTTTTTTTTCTTCTTTAAGATCTAAATACAATTTCGATTTTTTTTGTTTTTGCGACTTACTTTAAAGCAATAGAACAAGACTACATTTCGTAATTACTTACAACACTAGGCAAAATTACTAAGATTACAATTCATTACAATAATTATTAAAATTTAATTATCGAAATAATTACTTTTATTTTTCGAATTAATAGTTTTTTATACAATTATATTTTTAATATGCTTTATTTGAAATTAGCATTTATTAATTTGTATTTTACTGGCTTTTTTAAATTGTATATATTGGTTTTCAATTTGAGTTTTAATTACTTAACAATTACTATGCGGCAAAGACATTATTACTTTATTATTTAGTTTAACCTCGGTTATTTGATTTAATTATAACTATTTCTGTGATTCTATGTATTAATAGTAATGCAAATAATGTAATTGCAATTATTAATTAAGAGAAATATATGTATACTGCATTTGTCATTTACTTAATTAATACATTATTAATTAGTAATTAAAAAAAAATTATGTATGAGAATTATATAAGTATTTATAAGAAAAGTAATTGAAAACAATTTTTCTCTGTTTTGATTGCGCTTTAATTAAAAATTATGTTGCAAAAATAATATGTAGTATTTATAGCATATATAGCTATAATTATGCTTCACAGATACATAACTTTTGTAATTCATTACATTCTATTATAAGATTGATTGTGGTTTTCAAGTTATTTATGGGTAAAGTAATGTAACATACAATCATAGGCATATTTCGAAAGAGCCATACTTTTGGAATATAAAATGTATAAAAATAAGACAATTATTTTACAACTTTCAATTTTCAAGTAATATAATTACAATTTAAAAGTAAAAAAATTTCAATTTTAGCATAAAAATTATAGTAATTACAGCGTTGCACAAATGAGATATACAACATAATTTTGCTAACAGTTCAACTGTTCGTTAACATCTTGATTACTTTGTAGTGCAACAGTATTGATATACATATATATGTAATTGTAAGTACATGTGATTACAATTGTTACCTAAGCATATAATGTACAATATAGATTATAGTTTCGTAAATAGAAAATTAGGAATAAATAATAGTTAATATAAAAGTGTACAGTTTAATTTGCAATTGCATATACATATATATATATATTACACTCTCCAACGCTACTCTAACTAATTAAACACATATGTAAGTATATATTTAAAACTATAAATATTTGAAAAATATGACATACTAATAGTAACAGATAATGATAACAATAACATACATACAGATAAATATGAACTTAAGTAAGTTAAATTATTTAAAAATACAATTACAGTAAAAAAAAATTAAATATAATAAAAAAAATAAAGATAAAACATATATCAGATTTTATTGTATATTGCTCCTCTTAACAAACAATTTAATTTTATTGTTGTTGTTCATACATTTAAATTGCTCTCTCTCAACTCGTTCCACAGTATTAACTGTATCCTAGTCGGTAATTGATATCTGCGCGAAACCTATTAGTGCGCGTTCATCGGGCACTTCACCTTGTTGCACACCGGAATTCAGTTGGAACGTAACAGTTTTAGTTGCAGCTCTTTGCTCGATCAGTTGATTTAGATGCATGGCCATAGCTTGCGTATCTAAGGTATCTACGAGTCCAGCATCGACTAATTCGCTGGCAATACCTTCGGCCGTATCCTTACCCACAGCAAATTCAAAACGTATATCGTGCAGTTCTCTTCTCTGATTTCGCATACGCAAAACTAAATTGATTGGCGGAGCTTCACCTGTTGCACCATCTATTGTGGGCACAGTCAACTGCGCCATTGCTGCTGTAGCTTGCATAACATCTTGCGCAGTGACTGCTGCTAAATTATTTGCAGCATTGAATTGTTGTGCATTTTCTGCAAGGCCAGCAGCTGTTGCGGTAGCGGTATTATCTGAAAATTCAGACTGTTCCTCTCGATCACTATCTGAGGAATCAATATGTTCTAAACGATTCATTGGCCGTTCATCTGTATCTGAATCTGATGAATTATGTTTGCCACCGTTATCTTCTTCTTCACTTGACCACACCCATTCGCCGGTGACAGTACGATGCAGGCGACCAGAAGCACCGGGTTGTCTTTTTGAGGCTTTATGCACACGTGTTTCCATTGAAGGACCAGACTGCAGAAGAGTTTGTGTCAAATATTTGCGATCTTTAGCTTTCTTGAAGAAGGCATGTTTTAATAATTCGCTGGCAGTAGGTCGTTTCGTTGGTTCTTTTTGCAGACACTCTACAATCATTTTACGGAATGTCTTGCCATAGGCTTTATACTGATCTTTCTCATCGGCTCCAGTATCGAGTGTAGGTGGATCGTTTTGAAGTGTTAACATAAGCACTTTCATCGGTGGATATTTATGATATGGTGCTGTGCCGGTCGCCATTTCAATAGCTGTTATACCGAATGACCAAATATCAGCCTTAAAGTCATAGCCATGATCTTGTTCCATAACTTCGGGTGCCATCCAACAGGGTGTGCCAACAAATGTATGTCGCACTTTTTGTCGCGACAGATCCCTACCGGTAGCTAGCCAAGCACTTACACCAAAATCGGCTATTTGTATGGTGCCATCGTCACCGATTAATATATTACCAGCCTTTATATCTCGATGTATTTGACCATTTGAGTGAAAATATTCAAGACCCTTTAATACTTCTTTGAGTACAGTAGCAATAGTTGCTTCATCGAAGACTCCATTTTTGCAATTACTAGTGCGCATCTTATGCTTAATTATATCCAACAGTGAGCCACCTTCTAGAAGCCGCAGAACTAGCCAAAGTTCTTCTCGTACTACAAATGACGTGTGATATGTGACCACATTTTCGTGACTGCATGAGGACATTGCTTGTATTTCTTTCAGTAACTCATCCATGGAAGTATTCCATTTCTCGAGATTGATACGCTTAATGGCACATTTCTCTTTACGAGGCAGACAATACGCCGCATGCACAACAGCTGTTGCACCAACACCTATAACATCATGCAACTCATAATCGTCTTTGGCGTTTGGCCAGGGTTGCTTCTCTGTAGCAGCTGCATGTACAACTGGTGCACCCATACTGCTTAATGTAGTGGTTGAAGCCATTTTTGTGGTTTTTATATTTGTAGGTTTCTTGTTTTTATTGATGGGTGCTGTAGTGGTTGTTTTTGTTGTAGTTGCAGTATTTGTACCTGTTGTTGTTGTTCGTATTGATGAAGTTTCTTTAACTGTTTGTATAGTACCTGATGTTTCTATATGCTGACTTTCATACAAACGACCAGGTGCTGTGAAACACTTTAATAATGAGTTATCCTTTAAGCACTGTGAGTTAATATTATTTTCTTTTTGTTGTGTATTAGATGGAGCAATTTTAACTGCTGTAACTTTCTCTTCAGCTATTGGTACGCTTAATGATTCCAATAATGATGGACGCTTTATTTTTGTTGGCTGCTCCTTTATTACTGATACATCAATTACTGTGCTAGTTGGCGTTGCACTCGAAATACTAAATTCCTCGTATCTGGGTCTATAGTAAGCAGGTCTATCTTCAATGATTTCTTGGCTTACAGCTGTTTCGCAATGCTCACTGGCAGCTCTTGTCGCTGTGTCGGCTGTTGAGAACTTTCCGTTGGTTGGTAAACAGAATGTAAGTGTTCCCTCTTGTTTACTGAAGAACGCAACTTCTGGAATAAATTATAGTAAGAAAAAAGAAATTCCTCTATTGGTTTTTGCATTTTTTTAAAGATTTTTGTTTAAATTTGTTTTTGTTTTGTAGTGATTTCTAATAGAAAATAATGATTTGATTATGCAGATGATGTGAGAATTTTAAAATATTAGTATTGTGCTCTACTCGTATAAGATAAGTGCATCAAATTACAATATTAAAAAGGCAACAACAGTAAAAGCAAAATGTTAAAAAGAGCAATACGCATAAAGCAAATAAATGATTTATTTAAACTAAAATTATTTATATGACAACATTAAACAAAGTAGAATAAAATTAACACCATAAAACCAATATACAAAATATAAAATATACTGAAAATTAGTAACAAAAAATGTAATTAATTAATATTAAATTATAATAGTTTTGTGAAATAATATGACTCTGTGTACAGTGGGTGCATTTCATAACTATATAACATATTGTCATTATGAACTATAATGATATATGTACAATCCTTCAATTGTGCATATAATATTGTAAATACTATTATTCCATTATTAGATATTATTCAATCATATTAAAATTTTTATTGCTTTTTTATTACTATAATCAATTTATAACAATATAATATATATAAAACTAATAGTTACAAATGATTGCTACTACTAAGTTACTAAAGATATTAAGCCAGACATTTTAAATAAAAATATAAATTTAGTAATAAGAACTATTAATCATAGGTCCTCTATAGGTTGGGCTCACCTATATGATTTTTCAACTAAATAGGAGGAGTATAGAAATTACAAAAGTTAATGTGTCCCACACGGTTTGTATCGAATTGTGACAGATGACGAAAAATGGATCTATTTTGAAAATCCTAAGTGGTACCAAAGTCGAATCGCTTCGGCTAGAAGTCTATACTTTTTGTTCGGTAGAATCAGAGTGACATAATGTATTATGAATTCTAGAAGCTCGGAGAAACTAATAAAGCACAACACTACACTACCGCCAGAAATGATTGATTTAACTAAAACATTGATCGAAAAATAGACCTTAAAATCGCTTGGATGGGACTCCCTAAATCTGGCGTCATCTGACTATCATTTTCTCGCATCAATGGAATACGTGCTCGCAGAGAAGCACGACGAATGGTTTGCAGCAAAAGACAAACAGTCTCTTGTGCTATGGTTTTCATTAATTTCCCGAATGATGGGCGAAATGTGCAGAAGCCGATGGTAAATATTTAGGTAAAACCGGCTATACTCTGGAATTTTTATCATATCATTAAATGTTTGTAGTGCTGAATTCCTGCAAAATCGAGTTTTAAGGTTGCTTATTTATATATATGGAAAACATCAAAAATATTTGGATTCGCTCTCTGATGTGACTAGTTGGTATTAATTGTTGTTTGTATAATCAATGTAAAAAATGTGTACAGTGGTTGCCGCTAGATGGCGCGTTATTTTTTTTTTACGTGCGTAATTAATAAAAAATTTACAATTCTTCGGCATATTAGTTAGTGACGTAGACGTAACATTCCGGCGCCTAGAAAGCTGTAAGCGCGTCATATACACATAATATGTAAATTCATATTATATACGACAAGTATTTTATGACTCTTCCCATATAAACTTTTTCATTCATCTAAAATACCAATAAGTAAAAACTTAGGAAATCCCATGCAAATGTTATTCTAGCTCTATTATAAATAAATAGGGTAATATTGGTGTTTTCAGTATTTATTCTAACAAAAAAAAAGCAATTAATTCTTTGATAACTGCACCTGTTAATCAAACAAACCTGTTCCACTTATTCAAAATTATTCAAAAATTCTATACATTCGTCGGAAATCTTAGACAATTCCAGTTAGTAATACTATAATAAATTGTTTCAATGAGTTAAAATTCCGTGAATATGATAAAAGTCAGCCTTAACCTGAATGAAAATAATTACGTTTTCTAAATGATGATTACGAATAAAGTATATTTATAGACACATGAGGAAGTATAATTACAGACGATTATACAATATATAAATTAATAATTGATAAGAATATTTTTGTTTAAGTGATAAAATATATGTAAATATGTAATGAAATTACCAGTACATGACCACAAATATGTTAAGAAATATAATACGCAACAGCTATAAGTGGATGTGGGGACGGGGAGAGCAATAAAATTATGAATATTAATAATATACAAAAAATACGTAAAACAAAAATATAATATATTATATGAAAACATATAGAAGAAAAAAATTATTATAATACGCATAAGCAGTGTTAAGTTATATACAGATTCTATATACAAATACATGTAAATATAAGCTTTTAATTTGTGTTTTTTTTTTTATAAATGTATATATGTATCTACGATTTTTTATTGTTGCAAGAAAAAAATTTACACACGTTTTGCGTTTTTTTATTTTTTCTTATTTATTTTGTTAATGTTGTATGATTTGACACAATTCCGATAAGTTGAGTGATACGAGCATGAATGAATAGAAATGAATCACAAGTTCATTACACTGTTGAATACATGCTAAGGTTACCATACGAATGCGAATGAGTGAGTTTCTATCTTTCACAACAGGTTTAATATTGCTTCAGAATTCAGAAGAAGTCGAAAATGATTGATCTAAAACTAATCTCAAAGCATTTCTGTGAGCCACTTTTAGTGAAAAAGTCTGTTAAGGACATAAAAAAAATAAAACAAATATAATTTATATGAGTAATCAATATTTTTGGTATTCCATTAGTGCTTTAAACGGTTCATCGATTTACTACTGACAGTTTTTAAACCACTCACATGAGCATTCAATCACTTAACTGCTCTATGAAAAGCTCTAATTATTTTACCGGCACTTAAAAAAATTAGATTTGTTTTGAGTGACAAAATATTTGATACACTCGTACTGACATATAGAGTAGCAAATAATAGTTTTACTTAGTTTATAAATATCAGGTCTATGTACATATGTGTTTTCTGGTTTACCTAAGAGATGGCGCAAGCGAAAAGTATGCAGCATAAGCTGTATTCGTCAATTGTCAAAACTAAAGCCTTCGTTTTATTGTTCTAGGATCAAAGTCGAACTTTGTGTCTGAAAAAGAACATTTGCGGCACGCATTTCTTTTCCTTTTTAATCAAAAAAAAAGGCAGTTGAATATCGTCATCGGTAGAAACGGTAGAAACGGTAGAATATGTGAGAAATAGTTTCTACAAGTTGAAAGTTGTAGGAGCTATTGGATGATGATCCAACTTAAACAAAAGCATTAATATGTCACAAGAAATAATCAGCAGACGTTTACTAAGAAGATCTATAAAGTGGATCCCACACGGCTTGAGTAAAATGCACCTTTAACGCTACGAAAGGAAATCATCAAATTATGACAACTGAGCAAAAAGGGTTTTTTTTTTAAAAACCAGAAGCGGAAAAAATCGTGGCTTTCACCTGACCAAACTGTTCCTTCAACACCAAATCGCTTCGTCTTCACCACTATACAACGAAATAAATTTTGAAGTTGAGAAGTGCATATAGTACAGAAGAACACATCATTGCTGTTGAAAATTTGTTATAATATTTTTTCTTTGTACATAGTTTATGCATTTGCATTGTTGCTTCTTAATTTGTGCTCATCAAGTCATTCAGCTCTCAACTTAATGCAAATTTCAATAGTAATATAATACTTGACAAATAAAAGTGCCTTAATATATCAAAATTTTTATTCAGAATAAATACCGCTTGTTAAATATTTTAAATATTAAAAGGGTAGTAAATTATATTATTTCCGGCAGCCATTACAACTGACTTTATTACTAGTTTACTATTAAAACACATCTGAGTAATGGTTTTTAATACTAATTATAATCTTGAGATATACAAAAGTGAATGTGAGATTTACAAAAGATTTATAAATTGCAATGTATTTGAGCCTATCAAAATAGTCTGTTAGTGAAATATGGAACTTAAAACTGAAGCAGTTCTGTAGTTGAAGACTAATAATGCTGTTGAAAAGATTATTTTTGTAAATGTAGTAAATAAATTAATAACTTTACTAGCTTATACACTTAATGGGTATTGTAGTTCTACATTAAGCTATCTCTCCGATTTAATTCAGACCCTATTATGCGATACCATAGATAAGTTTTGAATCACGCTATCAGATTGAAACAATTTTGCATTAAGTTATTCTTACTTAGGACTCGGAAACCACTGTGACATTTTCATAAAACGGTTGATTTCTTTAATGCTGTTATATGTCAATGCTAACATTGGAAATGATTGGGGAACTTTTAAGGAAGTGAAAGTTCCTTTCTTTTGGGGACTTTGAAGTCTTTGGAGGACTTTAAGGAAGTGAAAAATTATTGATTTTTATAAAAGCATTATTTTATGTTTTCAATTCGCAGTAAGCGAGCACTTTATAATTTAGCTCAGTTTAAAGATATAACATATAAAATTGTCTAAGACTTCTAAGACTATCTAAGAACAAATTATAGAGGTTTTATAAATAGTGTAAGTGATTTTTTAAAAAAAATAACTTTTTATTTTATTAAAAAATTAAAAGAATTAAGATTGTCTATGTACTACCAAAAAATGACATTCAACCCACTTCCTGACTTCCGTTGCCGCCTCATAAAACATTATAATTATTGAAATACAACAGAAGCATACATAAATGCTTTCGCAAAAGATAAAAAAATTTATGAAATTAAATATAATTAATATCTCAATGCACAAAGGCAAGTACGGGCGTATGTACTAAGTAACTAAATGCAAATATACATGTTGTATATACAAATTTATATCTATTAAGATAACCTAAAAAAAGTCGAACTAAATATATACATGTATATATATATATATATAATTTTTGTAAATTGACATATATACTATATACATACATTTGCGATAATTCCAAAAACCAAAAAAAAAAGTATTTTTTGTCGCATTTTATACAATTTTCGGTTGTGGACAAATACTTTGGAAAATTTCCAGTCATGTGCAATTTTTTAG